TTTCACCTCAGTTACCCTCCTTAAGTGTTGCAGCCGCCTGCCCTCTTCCTCCCTCTCCACCTCCACCCATGCATGAGCACACCTTACCTGTGCCTGAAAAATTTTCAGGGGATTTAGATAAGTGTAGAGGCTTCTTAACCCAGTGCGACTTGAGTTTTCACCAACAGACTCAAGCCTATGCTACCGACGGTGCCAAAATTGCTCTCATGGTGCAACTCATGACGGGGAGAGCACTGAAGTGGTCTCAGGCAGTGCTGCATTCCAACCCCAATGTTTCTTATCCTGACTTTCTGACCAAATTCCGCAGTGTTTTTGATAAAGGTTCTAATCCAGATGCAGCTGCTCACCATTTGTTTTCTTTAAAACAGGGCAAAAAGAGTGTGGTGGATTTCTCTGTGGATTTTTGGATCTTGGCTGAGGGAACTGGCTGGGAGGAAAAAGCACTTCGGGGGCATTTCTCAATAGCCTGAATGAAGGAATCAGACATGAGTTGGCCACCAAAGAATTACCTAAATCGTTGGATGCTTTGATTAATATGTGTATCAGCCTTGATGACCACATGCGAGAATACGGAGGGCGGTCTGAGGAAGCCCGCTGGGCAACAGGAAGCCCAGGTGGTTGGCTGAGCACTTCTTCCGATGGGGGACGACAAGAGGAGCGTGAGCTTGAGGAGACGGAGGAGGAGCCGATGCAGCTAGGGCGAGCTAGATTCAGCAAGCCGGGGTGGAGGAAGAGACGCCAGATGGGAGAGTGCTTTGCATGCGGAAAGAAGGGGCACTAGGCAGACTCTTGCCCGTCCCGGCTAAAAGATTCAGCCTGTCAGTAGCGGTGGGGTTACTGATGGGTGCGACAGGAGATGTGTTACCCCACCTCAGCTGCCCCGCCAAGCATATCTTTCAGTCCATAACATATTCCTGTAACGCACTAATGGATTCAGGCGCAGAACAAAGCTTTATGGACGAGTCTTTAGCCAGGAGATTGGGGGTCCCGCTTGCTTCCCTGCATGTTCCTTTGTGTCTGCCCTCAATGGGGAAGTGCTGGCCAAAGTCATGCATCGCATGCATGAAATCATGCTTTCGTTCTTTCACGTTCACGTTTTTTCTGGTAATCATGTTGAAAATATAAGTTTGTTTCTGTTTAAGGCGCCTGATACTCCATTGGTCTTAGGTTACCCGTGGCTTCAACGTCATAACCCTCAGATAGATTGGGCCCAGGACAGTGTGGGGGGATGAAGTGAGTGGTGTCACAAGCAGTGCTTACGGTCAGCTGTTCCCAATCTGACGCCGACTGTGGCGAAGGATGCTGTCTGTGCTCCTGATCTCTCTGTTGTTCCGGATGAATATCATGATCTAGCTAAAGTGTTCAGCAAGAGTTTGGCCTCATCGCTTCGGCCTCACCTTACGACTGTGGCATTGATTTGCTTCCAGGAGCTACACTGCCCACCAGCCGCCTGTACAACCTGTCCAAGCCTGAGCGCAAGTCCATGGAGCGCTATATTACCGACTCACTCTCCGCTGGCATCAATCGACCATCCACTTCTCCGCTTGGGGCAGGATTATTTTTTGTCGAAAAGAAGGACAAATCCCTTCGCTCCTGCATTGACTTCTGTGGTCTCAACAAAATAACCACCAAGAACAGGCTATGGTGAATGACGTGCTTCGGGATTTCATTAACCACTTTGCTTTTGTGTACTTGGATGATATTCTCATTTTTTCCAAGACTCGTGAGGAGCATGTTGAACACGTCAGACTGGTGCTTCAACGGCTGTTGGAGAATCGCCTGTTCGTCAAAGGTGAGAAATGTGAATTTCTCGTCCCGACAGTGTCTTTTCTGGGATTTGTGATTGATCGGGGGCAGTTGAGAGCAGATCCTGCTAGGGTCAAGGCAGTGGTGGAGTGGCCGGAACCTAAGACCCGGAAGGCACTCCAAAAATTCTTCGGCTTTGCGAACTTCTACCGTAAGTTCATTCGTAACTTTAGCACTGTGGTGTTGCCGTTGACTACTCTCACTTCTCCTAAACAGCAGTTTGTGTGGTCACCCCAGGCCCAACAGGCTTTTGTGCAACTGAAACTGTTGTTCTTGTCTGCCCCCATTCTCGTTCAAGCAGATTTATCTCGACCCTTCATTGTGGAAGTGGATGTGTCGGATTCTGGTGTGGGAGCAGTCCTTTCCCAACGAGTGGAAGGTAAACTCCATCCCTGCGCCTTCTTCTCCCATCGTCTTTCCCAGGCGGAGCATAATTATGATGTCGGGGATCGGGATCTCCTAGCGATCAAGTTGGCCTTGGAAGAATGGCGCCACTGGCTGGAGGGGAGTGTGCATCCGGTGCTGGTCTGGACGGACCATAAGAATCTGTCGTACCTGCAGACAGCCAAATGCCTCAATCCGCAAGCCAGGTGGGCCTTGTTTTTTACTCGTTTTGATCTTGTCATCACTTACAGGCCAGGGTCTCGTAACACCAAGCCAGATGCCCTCTCGCGCGAGTTTGCTCCCAGTGGGGAGGGGGAGGAGGAGGAGGAGAGGACTATCATCCCGGCCTGCTCTGGCAAAGGACGTCCAGGAGTATGTCGCTGCTTGTACCATCTGTGCTCAGAATAAAGTTCCTAGCTCTCCACCCTCGGGTCAGTTACGGCCACTT